ATTTCTCAATCTAATATCACTTCCATTGTATCATGAAGGCTAATACGTCAGCTGCTCAAATCAGTGTTATTCAACTTACGTGACAAAATATTTATTATAAACTAATTTAAATCAAAGCTTCTAACGTATTAGTGTCAATCCACAAGCTTTCATCTGAGTTTCATTTTTGAAAGCGGATATATATATATATGAGGGTAAGACAAGTCTGCCTACTATCATCAATAATATTCGTGGTTGTGGATAATGTTGCAAGCCACAGGGATCAAGAAGATAGGAATACTTTGAGCCGACAAGAAGACTGCAGAAGATTCGAGCTTCATAGACGATTTACTTCTAATGTCACACAAACCCGAAGATTTACAAGTGTAATTTCAAAAGAACAGGCGGACAGCGAAAACAAGACTTCAGGTGAAGACTGAAAAGACAGGTGATGAAGATATCCACCAACAAGCACCTATCCCAACCAAAGGAAGTTTTCTCTTTCCATTATCGGAACAACGTCGTTTCAATTACATGCTGGCTACACGGATGAGAATACCTAAGTTTGGCAGAATGGAGTCAGGAAGGCAAGATGGACGTTCATTACTCTAAAATCACTGTGCTAATCTATAGCAATCACCACAGGGAACGAAATCCAAAGTTATAGGAATAATGACAAGTCGCTACTTTCATAACTTTTGGAGAATTGGCACTCACGCCACGAGAATCATTTCCAACGGACTTCTGCAAACTTTTATCAACAAATGCCCTTGCTGGCTTTATATCAAAGATCGAAGGAATTGAGCAACAAGAAAGTCATGCACTCAATCAGATAAGAGCTAATCGCTCAATAAAAATAAGGAGGGTGTAATGAAGAGGGATCGAACATACCATGAGAGGAGCGTTGAGTGACATCAGACTCCAGGCCCTCATCTGGAACCCAAATAAGAAAGTTAACAGCAAAACGATAACATAAATAAGTAAAGAGAACTTGTGGTTAGACGTCGAGCCTGCTGAAAGTGATAGCACGGAACCTAGCGCTCAAACCCTATGCTTTGATTCGAACGTTAGGAATGAATATATATATATTCAGAGATATGGAATATCTGATATTAATTCATTGCAAAATAATTCTGAAGATGACAGTGATGCTCTTGGTTAAGTGATTTAGAAAATAACTTGGCCACTACACTGCGTGGGCTTACATACAGTCAAAGTATTAAAAATCAATATAGTTAGGTGAAGAGAGATGTTAGTCATAGAGTGTCTGTTCATCGAATTAGCATCAAATATATATGAAGGGAATAACACAACACAATTGTCGGAAATAAGGGAAGACTGAATTAATAAGCAGTGGGAAGCAAGTCATACAAATATGTTGATTTGATTATCAGCAATAAATTAAACTCGGAAAGTGTTGTTCAGTCACTATTGCTGTATCATCTTGTTACATCAAATAAACTTGTCTAACGTCGACGTTTATTCTTTATTTTAAAAACAAAACTGAAACATTACTGTTAGGAAGTATGAGCCAAATTTATTTTATGATAAACGTAGTTCATCTAGCTGTAATAACATTTTAAGTCGTTTTGTTAATCAACACATTCTTTGGGTAAATAAAACGCTGGACGTAAATACACTAAAGAAAAAGTGAAAACTTTACTTACATTTTACTAATATTTTTTTCATGGAAAAGTTAGCGAGATGCATTACATTATGGACAGATAAAGATTTACTGATAAAATTTTATGACACTTTTTTTCGCATCCATATTTTTTCTTTATTCTATGCTAAATTTAGTGCCTATCTTACACACATCAAAATAAACATACAACATAATATGCTTCTACACAAAACGCAATTACATTGCTGAATATACATCTAAGATCTTGTTAGTTTGAATAAGTCTATGTTAGACTTAGAGGTACCATCATGACATTTTCATTTTCTTTTTATTACTATTATTATTACTATTTACATTATTACTATGATATGATTCCTCTTTATTGATCTATTTGTTTTGTTTCCACAGCTTCAATTTCATCACTCTGTCATCCTCATTCCGGTAACACTGTATTGTAGTAAAATTTCTCATAGCTCCAACCACCACCTCCGTTCTATACAAACAGAGGTGATAGAAGAAGGCGGACAATTATATTTTAAACTAAAAAACGACATAAACTGTTGACAAATGCAAACGAAGAAGGAGAAAGAGGCTTTTTCCCAGTGTTCTTGAATTTGCTCCTTGATTAGCACGAGTAATACACTTGATCACAAAATAAGTGGACTGATATAAAATTAGTCAATAAGCAGCTAAAATGAGCTGTTATATTACTTATGGAGGCCCCAGGTATATTTGTATTTTTATTTTAACTAACAGGCTAAGCTGTCATATCGTAAACCCTGTCAAGTTAATTAGTGTTCATACATACATAATTAGTGTTCAAATCCCATCTATATAATTAGCCCCCAAGCCACTTTTTTTAAAAGTTTATTCTGTTGTCTAATAACAAACATGTACAGACTTTCCAAGAGATCCACTCTACTTTAATAAGTCTATTTGACTTGTTTATTTCAAATAGCACTTCCTAACTAGGCTAGGTGTTAATTTAATTGGTATCAGTGTGTTTCATGGGCCGTCTGTTAAAGAATAACAGCATAGCTAACGTTTACAGGGGTATTTAGAATGTAGGAACAATTTCAACTAATCTGTGTTGGTGGGATGATTTATCTAACGACAGAACGAAAGAATTTCTGTCTTCATACTGTAACTACAATGTTTTTTTCGTCGAAAATGAAATTAATGTCACTTATTGCCTGGTCAAAAACAGTATGTAGCTAAAGCGTTTCTGAGTAATCCTATATTTCATAGTATATTCGTCTATGCAGTTAAGCACTGTGCAGACTAATCCTGCTTTTCCTTACGTTTTCTATATATTTGGTCAAATTTGTGTAGATGGAACAAAAATTAATTGTTGGACTACCCATATATATGTATATGTTTGTCACATTTTAATGTGACATGAACGATTTCACTCATCAAGTATGCTGGTTGTTTTACCGCTCAAGAAATTCTATCAAAACACTGTATTGGTCCTCTAATAAAATGACTCATTAGAAGCACACTGAATGCATTAAGGCTATTTCATTTTTCAAGTATCGGTTTGTAGGGATTTGATTGATTGGTTACAGTATTTCATCCTGAGCTGATATCAGTTAGAGAACCGTTGGAAAACATAGGAGTACTGGACAGCTGTTTTGTCCTAGTTTGGGATTTTTCAACAGAATGCACTCACACTGCGGGGTCCGAACCCAAAACTTTCTGGTTACAAGGCCAGCTAGCTCGTAGACCATTAATCCACTGGGACCCGATCTAATGGTCCATGAATTCCAGCTTCCGCCAATTCACGACATAGAGCGATTTCTAGCCAGTGTCTTCAGCGACTATTTATCCCCACACTCGACCTTCGTAAGAAACGATGATATTCTGTGGTAGTTACCTATAATTACAGAGTAACTTCTGGGTAGAAGTAAATGTAATCTGTGTCATCAGAAGAACCACAAAATAAAAATGTTAGAAGGAGACAACTTTGAGGAACATCTTATAATCAACATACAACGACAAACAAAGCATATTTAGAATAGTATGTATGATAATGTATGATCAGTGGAATTCATACAAGGCTCACGATTTTCTTAGTGCTCACAAAATGTTCTTCCCAAAACTGTTATTTCTGCTATCAACAGTTTTGTTCTCCTCAGTAGAACTGTGAATATAAGATAAAGGTGAACAGACAATCCCTTCCCTTACTTAATCTTCAACCTCTCCATAAATAAAATATGTGTATTCAAAATTGAAATAAATAAAATCTGAGTAAGACTACTCGTAGAAGTATTGTTCTTTAATCTGTCAGTCAACATAATCAGGAACAGAGGATTACAGTGTGAACCATGTATTATCTGAATGGAATAAGTAATCCCGTTCTACATTTCTCATTTAGCTCCGGAATGACTAAGTAGTGAAGGTTCTGACTGTAACATTAAGTGGCTTAGATTCAAACAATGAAGAATACACAACTGAAAATGCCCTCTATTGATGAATGCAGCAGACTAATGTAGCAAACCCGTGAAATTTCCTAAAACATATTTACGTGTGTAGGTGCGAAATCCGTTGGATCATATGCTAGAAGCTAGTGGAACTTACGTTTCACAGTGGTTAATTTTAAAAAGGATTTCAAAAACTATCTTCATTCCGGTTAGTAATCCATTCAGTATACAAACCATATATGAAAGAATCATAAGTTGGCTTGAATAATGTTAAATGTCTTCAGTGTGACTGCAAATAAAGTTACTGACGAAACTGTGATTAGCTATTATGCAATGTAATTCGACTTCCTGTAGTTTGTCTGCAATTCATGTTGCCATGGTTCTCATGGTTAATGGATTTAAAACGGGTGCATATAAATAAAGCAGTGATGTGGCATTGTGTTTACGAAATTTGTCAAAAGTTTTGAATTGGAAGAATATTTCAGTGTTATGCAGTTTCACACGAAAATCTGAAGAAGATTAAAGTTAATGCGTAACTGATTGATGTTATGAGGTTACTTGAGAGTGGTTAAAACCTTCTGTTTCTCAGTGTCCCAAAAAGATCTAGTGAGTTCTATTAAGATACAACTGATAGGTAAAAAATAACCAAGTTATCCGTCTTCGTGTTCAGTAATTTCATGTATTTGTAGAAGATATTTTTCTAGTACACGAAACCCAAAAGGGATGCATGAAACACTTCAGTTGGTCTGTCAGTTAAACAAATACGCTTTATACCAATTTTTGGTTGAATATTATACTTCCTTTCAATTGCTTACATAAAACTGTTAAAATTATGAACAAGGCCTAGGGTTACTTTAGCAAAGAATAGAATATTGTACTGGTGCTCTGTCTTGAAAAATGAAGAGACTAGTGCAGCACTATGTAACACAACTGTTCCTGCTTTCTAAATATCGCGCTGATTGATTTTGTTGGCCGAAGAGCTCAACATGTACTGATATGTTACCTTTTACTAGGGAACGCTTCGATGATGCCTTAAGGTTGATTTATTTAAATGTTTTGAAAAGGTGTGAACAGAGACAAAGTTTTTATTATTCCGTTGAATAAGTCTCGACATAAATTTTTACGAATATCAATTGATAAAGTACAGGTTTTATTTTTACAGTGTAAATGAATAATTCAACACTTTAACATTTCATATCATTTAAGTTCCATTGTGAGTAAAAGAAGACAGTATGTTTCTTTTCTTATTGGTGAAATTATGATTTCTGAATGTATTCCTTTGTCGGAAAATAATTCTGATTAATGTATTTATCCAAATCAATAGTTGAAATAAACTGTCCTCCCTGGGAAAGATTTGCATATATATATATATATCACAAGAATATATAATTTTCATGGTAATTTCAAGTAAAAATGGGGAATATAGGATTTGACAAAAAATAAGAATAGAAATGCGAAAAACAGAAGAGAATTCATTTTGAAACAGTTTTCAACATATACAACATGCGATGGGATTTATCGATAATTAGAGATATAGTATGTGGGTGAATGATAGTTTGATAGTGAAAGTAATGCAAGGAAAAACAAACAGAATAAAAATATTAAAAAGAGTAACCTAGTGTAGAAGGGAATCGATTTTTGTATAGAGTTTTATTTCTGGATATTTCGCATCCAATCATACATTTGTGTGCAATATTGTTCACCTGAGTTTGATTTTAAGAAACATATACGAATACATATCAAGAAACATTCAGATACATGATAAGATTTAAAAGATAAAGGATATAAGTGAAAGAACATGATAAACAGTTTGATAATCACAGTTTGCAAGTGTCATTATAGCATTTGTAATGATATCAATGCTGAAAAAACAAGGATTTGCTTATATCTTTGAAGCGAAAATAAATGACGTTAGCTTGAAGATAAAGAGTTGTAAACGAGTTAACCAACTCCATTTACCAACACTGAAAATTAAATAAATTATATGATCATTTATCACTCTGTAGGACTCCGTAAAAAATATATTTAAAAAAACTATGGCGCTCGATAGTAATTTTTTAAATATTTCAAAATGGTTATCACTTGTGAAAATTATACTTGTAAAATCTCAGCGAAATTGCAATGAGTAATTTCAACGTTTCGTTCGATAAATTAGTCTGGGAAATTAACTGAAATTAAAGGAAAGGACATCTCTTGTTTTTAAAAACTTTCCCTGAAGAAGTTCAGACCAGTTTGTCGAAAGAAACGTCGGAATCACTCATTTCAATTTCGCTGAGATTTTATAAATATAATTTTTACATATGTCTACTTCTCACTTGGAGCCCAAATATTTGGGAGCTATTCGATCAAATCCTGATCACTGTCCATATGAATGGTTATCAGTTGTTTATCTTCTCAATGACTAACTGACTGACTCATTATGAATTCCCCTAATATTTACGTCAGATATGTAATTTACGCTTTAGAGAGAGGTTAACAATTATCTTTCTTATAACCTACCTTTATTTATATCAGTATAAAACTTGGGCACTGTGGTAGAGTGTAACTCCATTACAGATGAGATTTATTTGAACAACAATTTAAAGGTGAATGAAAGGAAGTCATTTCAATAATAGAAATGCCATGCTCAATGATCATTTGCTGTATACTATTGAAAAATCAAAATATGACAAAGGAAAGTACAGTATGCAGAATTTTAAAGAAATAGTTAGCTATACCATTCTTACAGGTTACGTGATATTATTGTTTTAAAAACGTTTTCTCAGCAAACATAGAATAACAGTTTCATCCTTGCTTAGGGCTCTTCAGCAATAAATGTCTGCGACCGTAGGAAGTGCTGAACTTAGAAGAATATATTTAGGTGAACGTCATTCAAATTAGGTTCTTTCACTACAGTCCTAGCTTGAAAAAACACTGTTAGTGTCGGTGAACACTGAATGGTTTGTTTATTCCTAGTGGTCTCCATTTGGCGTAAGACAACAATGGCAGTCGTTGCTTAATCGTACGCTGGTTGTCAGAGGACTGGAGAAATACGATCACAAGTATTACTGTACATTTTTTTAACGTTTATTCACAGGCTTTGCACATGGTATCTTGTAATCCTGTTTTATAATCGATGGAGGAATAAACAATCATATTGTGTATTCGTTTTCTAATGTTTTATTATTCGGTGTGTTAGCGTAGTCTTTCGGCATCACCGTTTTGTCTAGGATCTTTGCGACCTGGACATTCAACACCATCACTGAAAGTATTCGAACTTCGGTTAGATCACTTTACATTTCTTCCTATTTTTTAAAATATTTTTCTTATACGTATCAGTCTGTAAGGACATCCACATAGAGATTAATCGAATTCGCTAAAACTTAGCGGTTAAGTATATCAAGGTGCCTGTCTCATCAGCACCTGAAATGGGTAAATCGGTTGCATATTTCATTTTAATATTCAATTTTGCATGACACACCATTTTGCACCTAACTTTTATATAAGACTAATAAGGAGAAGGCTAGAAATCAAAAGTTAAGACTGCATCAGCTGATAACTCAAAGACGAGAAAATGAAAACGTTGTCAAATACTCATTGTTTTGCAAAGGTAATCTAAATGATGTCAGCTGGTGACGAAATCTAACTCAGGGAAATTTTGTTAAGACAACTGAAGCCATAGTGTTCAAATAATCTAAGTTAATGGTTAAATAACGTCAGACGTATACATATCGATTTCTACAATATGAACTTCAGATGAATAGTTAAAATTTCAGTGCTTTGAATTAATCTGATTGTATGAAATAAATCAGTCCGAGTAAACAACTGATGAATTCGGTACCGGACAAGGGAGACGAAATTCGGTTAACGTTGATAAGGTTATGGAGGTGTTTCTAAACATCATTCTGTAGTATATCGTACTGTGAGTCTGACAGCATTTATGGTGTTGGTCAAATCGAATATATAATGATGTGAATACTTTAGATTTCATAATAGAAATCATGGTGAAATATATGATTTGATAAACCAGTGTTCATACACTCACTAAAAGATACAAACAAAAATTACAGAGTATTACGTTTTTAATCCCAAGAATTCCCATGGAAATATTACGTGTATGACAGTTTAATTATCCTCAACAACGAAGAAAATTCGTTAGATATTCTAGATTCTCCTAACAACTGTCACCTTGTAATGCAGCTCACGTTAGAGGAAGACTGATCAAAAATATCCTACCTGGATGTTTAGCGCACAAGATGTAATTATGGAACACTGAAAAGATTCATCCACAGAAAGCTGACATATAACGGAAAACTCACAAACTTTCAGATTTCGGTGACTATATATAGAATGGAACTTGAACCACTCACTAAGCCACAGGTGTTATGATGCTAGATCTTTTGTCACGAGGTCACTGCTTAACTACTGACCAGTGCCCACTTAACTGGTAAAGCAGAACACGCGAGAATCAGCGGTAAAACCAGGTTCATTTATTATGACAAAAGTGACTGTATTTATACAGCCAATAAGGTAGACTGGAAATCAACCAATCTGGTTGAGAGTTGGAATTGTGCAAGCGTCCAATCAGAAGCAGGAACAATTGCATGTTAACGACTTGTTAATAACGCGATAGTAACTTGACTGAGACATGATAATGACCTGATAATTGCATGTGTTTTTGCCTCTTCCTAACAACAGGTTCCACAACATTCGCAATCCTAACGTCCTGGGAGATGAGCTGAATACCATAAATAGGTGTGTCACCAAAAATGGCTACCATGAACGCTTCATCGTAAAATCCATGAAGCCTGCACCCTCAAAACTAAACAAAATTTTCCCCTACAAAATCGTAATCTGAATCCTTAATTCAATGGAGACCCATAAGCAGAAATATTAAAGAACCGTTTGTCCCGTTCATTGAAGAACACTTTCTTTCAGCTGGACTTCGACCGGTTTTCTTTACAAAGTAGATGATTTGTATGATTTGTATGTATAACTGCTCCCGTGCAGTTGGATATTCTGGCCGTAATCAGCGTTTACTGCCCAAACCTATTATTGAACACTTAACCTCGTGGTTTCAAAGCGGAAAAAGGGATTTATCTGCAGCCCCTTTCTGGAACACTTAATCGATTCCGAACATGAGGTGAACCCACAAACCAAATTCAGAGCAATCTACAAAGTACACATAAATTAAAAGTCTCAGACTTCTTCAAATCGCAGATGTGCCTATCTGTACTTTAAATCCTGATCTCTGAGTATAGAAGTCTGTTCAGTTACTGAACATACAATATATCTAATTTGTCTCAACATATTATACCTAATTTTTCTTAATCTTAGTTTTTTCAGATATTTTATTTAATCTTAGTATTTTTCTTCCGTATCACTACTACGGTTCTACTCCTTGTGACACTGTTGTTAACTTGGCCATCCTTCGGTTTTAATATAGCTCTTTTCAGTTCTACCAATCGTGTTAAGTCACTGAACTTATTAATTTAGTTTTATTTTAGTTTCTACTTAATATGACCGTTAATGCACTTGGTAGTATGAGACAACGAATCCCCTACCTACTAGATTCCCTAATCTTCTGCTCTGACCACAATTAGCAATAACAAGTACAAGATACGATACCACCAAAACCATGACTCAATAAGACAAGAAAAGAAGACAGATCGTTTTCGTAGAAAGCTTTTACTGTCTCGTATCAACAGAGGAAATGGGTAGCAGCAATTGTATATATACATATATATATATACTTTGAATGGTCTTGAGAGACACTAATTACACTGATAAGTTAAGACAGTCAATGACCAGTGGGGTTCTAAGGGCATAAGTGGGGTTAGGCGAATACAAACAGCAATGTAAAGATAAACGTGGTATTTTAGGAAAATTAGGTCTATTTAACAATATTCTATTGATGTTTTCTCTATCTCGTAGTTGTTATAAAAAACTTACAGTTGAAATGACACATCTTTAGAAACACTACTTTTATTGCCATGAGAATGGACTTAATGTATGAAACGGTACAGCTTGTGAATACAAGCTCTGAAAAGAGTAACCTTTCGCCAAGTAAATCAAATATAATCTGCATCTTACTGAATACACAGGACATTTTGTTGTTATAAAAGACAATACTACTGATTACTGGAAAGTAGTAAGATTTCACTTTTAATCTCGTTATGTACCTTAATTTGCGCGGTGCTAGGAAATTTCTATTCCATCCGTGATATAAAAACTTTTAAAGGTTTTACAAAATTAAATAGTGGTGGCGTATAGTAATTTTGGAGATGAAAAAAGAGGAGTTATAACAATTAATTTCTATAGGATTTCTCATTTTACTCTAACAACATTTAAATTATCCATTTGCAAATTGTAATAATCTGTATAACTTTTTGGAATATATATATATATATATATATATAGGATGAAAATTCGTGGAAAAATCAAGTTCCATCCAAAAGACTTATTTATTTCTCACTAATTTGTACTAAAACTACTGCTCATAGGATTCCATATTCAATAAAAATTCACTATAACGACGGTATATTACTAAACAACTACTGTTAAGTGGGCTGATAAGTTATTGATATAAGTATGACTATAAAAACACTCGTCGTATTTCCCATCAAATTGTTATGGATTAATAACACTCGTACTATTATTTCTGAATGTACATTATCTCATATTGAATTTTATTCCAATATCTAGTCGATTCCACACATGTATATAAATGAAGGAAAGAAGTTGTGTGAGTAACTTGATATGATTATGAGCAATAGTTTGTGCTCGAAACGTTGTCAGTTAATATAACTGTACAACACTGTGTGATTTATCAAAATAAAATCTTATCCATTATGATAAGTTATTGCTTTGGTGGATAACTAAGGAGCTAATTATATCTGACATGTGAATAATCAACGGTTAACATCTAAATTGCAGTCAGAAAGTACTATGAAACAGGTGGATTTCTGTATGCATCATTATGAAGCATCTGACGTGATTAGAGACAATCCCTAGACTATTTAAAGAGATGAGAAAATGTTCATTTTACCAATAGAAAATATTTCAGTGCATTTTGACAATTTGACGGATAGCATCCACAGTTTCACTGGCCTACTGAAATACAACTATCCTAGCCTATGCATATTGGGATTCTCTACACCCACTTTAGCTCAAACAGCAGTCATTACAGTCGAGTATCCAAGATGCATTAGTTCCCTTGATCTAGCAAATGAATGCTAATATGTACGAAATCTAAGTTAAAGGCTTCCTGTTGATTACCTTCAGTCACGTAACCAAACCTTAATTTGTATTGTTCACTAGTAGTGAGCAGAATAATTAAGTCGACGTTGTAATCGATCATTTGTCGAATAGACTAAGTAATCAGGTAAAGTAATAACCTATCCATCAGACAGACCATATAGTTTATTGAAGTTAAATTTTAAAGAATTTATTATTCATTATTTTTCGTATTACGGACAGTTTCGAGAACATTTTTAAGAAGAAAAGGTGTTTCCAGTTTGTCAGCTTCAAGTCTTGAGGAATAGCTGTCTTCTCAGAATATAGATGCACTGATTAAATTAACTCTCAAGATGATGTTGCATGGAAAATTTAGTAGCGTTATAAGATGACAGGTTTGGCTAGAAGAAGGATATTATTTTCCTACCCTAAAATGTAGTATTTCAACACTTGTACGAGTTTATTTTTTCAAAAGAATTTCTAATTTGCTTTTTATTTCATAAAGTCAAATCGTTTTGAATTTTTGTTTTTAAATTGTAGAATCTATTGAACCAGAAATCTTTTACTTTTGTTATTTAAATTGTAAGTGATTTAAATTATTCATTATATAACAAAGAATAAATTAATTTTTGAAAACCTGAGCAAAATGATTTATCTTACCCTCTGACACAGGTGGCATAAAATTGTAAGCGAGATATATGTATATCTTCATCCACTTCTATATGTATGAATAATAGGACAAGCCTATGAAAAGAGAAGTGAAGAAATTATGAATCTACTGTTAGCCAAATGTTAGTAATTGATATAAAGGTAAAATTAAGTCACCATGATAGAGTATAACTCTATCATAGAATCACTTTGTTTAAAAAATACTCAGTGTTACAATACTATTTACTTATGACGTCTTAAGAGAAATTTATTACTCGTAATCACATCAAGATACTTATTCACGTTTCAAAGTTTCTTCATATAAATCCATTATTTTTTATCATTTGATTTTATTGTTAGTAATATTCTCCATCTCATCATTGTGTCATTCCTATGGTACGCGTCAAGAGTAGATTCAATGATTAAATTCTGGTAATGATTGCATAAGAAATACATCGTTTTAAATAGTGAAGGTATAAGTGTTAAAGAATTTTTGGAAGGTTCAGAATGGATCACATCGTCTTTTTTAATGAGGAGTATAGCACGACTGCTATTTTTGAATTTTTGCATATTTTAAAACAATATTAATAATAACCAAGCTTTTGTTGTGCGTCGGTGGCATAGCGGTTAGGACGCTCGCCGACCATGCATATGGTCCGGGGTTCAATCCCCGGCCGACGCACTCCTTTACCTCGCTAAGCCAGAAATAATGCTGATGAAGAGGAAAGGTTGGGCATGAGGCTAGCAACCCCATCCCGTAAAATGAACACTGCTACAGAAACTTCAAGCCACAAGCTTGAAGCCCTATGTTCCACTGGGGAACGTGAAGGAAAAAAAAGCTTTTGTTGATTAACAACTCAATTTTGGGGTCTTTAGGTGACGAATATTGACCATTAGAAACGTGAACTAAGTGAACTGTGCAAATCATCTAACATTATAGATAAGTAGGAAAATGCATGATGTAAGTTTGCAACGAAAGTGTAGGAAGATCTTATGCCCATAATAATGTTGGAACAATTTAACAGTTCATCGGGCTTTAAATCCTATTCACCTTTCGCGTATGCTAATTTATTAGACTATAAACTGTATCATTTGGGTAAAAATACACAAAACAAAAGGATAGAATTCACTGTGATGAAACTTAGAGGACTCGAAAATCAGACTATATGCCAAAATTATTGTGTGTCTATAATTGCGATTTCCTGTTAGTTTATCTGGACTGGTTTTAACTGGCTTTTTTCAACAGGTATGCGGAATCATACATTTTGCAAACTAATTGGCTCTCTTGGTTCAATGATCTAGTGCATGGCACTTTGGCGTTCAAAGCAGTGGTTGTTGACTTCAGCATTATTAGGCGAAGCGCTTACTAAGGATCAGGTACGTTGATCCGATGACCTTCAAATAGGACGAAAAATGTACCACAGATTTTACTCTGAGTCACCATCAAAAATAAGCAACTCAACAGTGTTCTCCTTCGTTTCGTAAATCTGTTTTTTAATTTAGTCATCTCTGATAGACTAAGCTAGTCACATCTCATTATTTCTGAAGTGAAACCAAATTATTTGTTAGGCAATATTTTCATCTCAGTCATCGCGGGTTTAAACTGACCACTGCATTAATGTGAAATACTCGGCTTTTAACGCTTTGTTAAATTTACTGTTTATCTACTCATGTAATTGTTATAGACAATTACCATTTCTTTAGTTCAATTTAGATTTTCTTGTCGATTGTTTGGACCGAAGTGCTCAGTTTCAGGTTGATGTGTCAGCTCCTTGTGCAGATGTATGTACGATGTCTGGTCATGTAACTTGAAGTCATTTGGCTGATGGTGGCTAGCAGTGAAATCCAGGATGCTCATTTCATCCTATTCGTGGCCCAAGCGGTCTGGTGGACAACGCTTTGGCATTTCAGGCTATGGGCACTGGGTTCCAACCTCGGTGGGAACATCATCACTGAAGGAGGAATGCAGGCACGTCCGGATGATGGGCCCCAAATAGGACGAAATGCGCATTCTGAATTCTACTGCTAGTAACCATCAAACAGTTGACTTCAAATGACATTTCTGCTAGCCACCCTAACATACTGCCCCGGGTCCGGTCACTGACCAATGCACTCCTTAACCTCGCTTAGTCAACAGTAAGTCCAGCAAGGAGGAAAGGCTGGATGTGGGCCTGGCAACCTCACCCCGTAAAAGGTGATAACATCATTGCTACTGAAATCCAGAGCCTAATTTTGAAGCCCATTTTTCCACTCGGCATGCAAAAGAATAAAATAAATAATAAAAAACAAAAATCTCGTTTATTAGTTCTTTCAGATTAGAGAAGTTAAAAATTTTATTATTTATTATTTTATTATCCTTCTTAAAAAGTAAAGTTGGCTTTAAAGATGTTGTTCAGTAGAACAGCGATAGCTCTGTAGTTCAGCCAGCTGGTTGATAGAATAAAAGAAATCAACCTGAATTACAAGTCTTCCCCGACTATTCCAAACTTAATAAAGTTTACCAGTCTGAAGTAGTCTGCCTACTAAGTTTAATAGGTTCAGGTTGACAGGAGTTTATTGTAACTGAGTATTTAGGCTTAGATGTCTCTGTACTATTATTATTCCCTTAAATTCCAGATAGAATATGGGTCTTCCGTAGTACATAGCCATTTCACTCTTTTCTCTGAATTCTTTTCTGGCTGACTACATGACTGGTCAGAAGCTCTTATTTCCTCTACACATGATCTCCTGCATGTCACACTCGGCCCTAAGCTAAACTCTGCCTTTCTCATTCAGGTTCCACTTGAGGGCCTAGCACGCGATGTAACTCAACGGTCTTCTGAGTGTGCGTCCAAATTATCTCTACCTACTTCTGTACGCTTGTTGGGCGATAGGTTCTTGGTTGGTTCGTTGCAAGAGTTCGCTGTTAATAAGCTTTTTTGACATTCAGTATGGAACCAGCGAAGGCAGCTGTTGAAGTAATGCGTCAGTCAAGTCTCCGAATCATGTAAACTATATGACTTGATAGAGTGTTGGAAATCCTGAACTCATTCCTGTAACATTAAATCTTATTAACCATATCTACAATTTTTATTTTTATTTTTCGCGTCCTATTTCACATGAATTTAAAGGGAAAATGGTTAGATGCTGATGGTTCTTGTTTGCTGCATTCCTTAATCCGTTTCCTTCTTTTTATGAATTACTAACTTTCTTATCGTGTTAAATAATACTGTTTTAACAGTGTGACATATAGAATAATTTCTTTATTTCATCGTCTGAGAATTTTGGTCTTCAAGTTAAAATGTAATTAACAGCATATTTGTCTTTTTTATTATCGATTGTCAGATAAAAACTATCAGAAATCATGAAGTTTGTCTTCAGTAGCTATTTCCTATGAAAAGAAAGAAAGGTAATTAAACTTCTGTCATTTGACTTATTGCTTAAATTGGCACTATTGATCAAGTGAAATGGTTAATCAAAGAAAGCATGAAGTTAGTGCGAAGTGCACACGTTTACATAACAGTTTCCTAAGTCATAACAGATTCTTTAATTTTCTTTCAGTAACTGACGGATAAATAAGTTATTAAATTAGGCAACTCATTAATTTACCTCATAGTGGTTTCTTGTGACTGCTAGGTCTCACTCGTCTTTTGTACGTGAACAATAATGCAGGCAAAGATAATAATCGCGTGAGAATCAAATTCCAGAGAAAAAGAGATCATAAAGTTATTAAACTCAGTGGTATTTGAGAGCACACACAAAAACTTCACTAAATAAACTATGAAAATCAACTGACGACCGTCTGATCTTAAGGATTAAATCTAGCTGATACGTAAATTCTTCTTCATCACATCAAAACCAGTCTTCCTAGGGAAATCTATGTGAGATAGTCTTAGCAGTAGCAGACAAATTATTACTCTTCATGCTTTATTTAAAACTTAACTGATTTATTGGTTTGAAGATGTTAAGTGCACATTTATGCATTGCTTAGTAGCACCACATCTGGACAACACTACTGTTGTATGGACTAATAGTAAGCCATGCTCAGCGTTTAAGTCTCTGACCTTAGTTTGTAAAGCACTTAGTTGCTTATTTGATCTAGTTTTCATGAAATGCTGTTTTAACAATCTTACCGAAAAAGCTTGCTAACTGTTGTGAAAATGTCCTATCTTAAAAAATTAAAAATGCATTATCTCTACATCCTAGCAAGATATATCTTGATGTTACTCAAAATATTTACATACAATCAATATTTTTTTCAACTAAGTAATCTAGGTTACAGGTTACAGTTTATGTTCATTAACATAAAAAGTGATATTTCCTGGGTCTAAATAATCTACTGGATAACTATGTGTCACTCGAAATGATGGGTTTTGAGTTCGGGTTCTACTGAGAACTCCAACACCTAATGTGATAGAAGTGCATCCTACTGAAGGGTCCCAAATAAGACTAAAAGAACGTCTTGGATTTAGATGACAGCTACCATAAGCCTGTAGTTATGACACATGCTTTTCCCGTCACGAAAACGTCAAAAGCATAGTGAAAACGTTTTATAAATATACTTGCAGTGGAAATCTGAACAAAATAATTGGTCAGCTATCTTTTCTTACAATCATTCTTATACACTAAAATTGAGAATTAAGTAATTCCATATTAGTTTGTTTATTAGGTATATCACACAGTGAAACAGTATTATTTACTGGATGACGTTTCGAACAAAATTTATTGTTCATAATCATATCAATTGTGATCACACGACTTTGAAACCTGAGTTTTATAGTTTTCTTTGTTCTCTCCTATTTGTCCTATGGGTAGTAGAATTTTCCAAATATCGGGGACAGGTGATGAATCATTCCTATTACATGTATTTGTAGTTGATTCGATAAACAAAGCTTCTGTTATCGATCTCTCCCTATACCCTGTGACATTAGATTTTAAAACTGTCATCCTATCCCATCCTATTGTATGGTTGTATGTGACTGCATGTAGTGCTATAGCTGAACTATTCTCTAGATTTCTTATTTTATTCGGGTCAACCAATCTAGATTTTGCTAAGTTTTTATGTTCAGCTAGTCTGACTGCCCCTGTTCTACTAGTTTGACCTATGTATTTGACCTGACAATCATTGCAGGGTATTGGATAAACTAAATTGTTTTGGTTTAAAGGCTCTACAGGATCCTTTAACCGACAAAGCTTGTTTCTAATTGACAAATAGGAGAGAACAAAGAAAACTATAAAACTCAAGTGTCAAAGTCGTGTGATCACAATTGATATGATTATGAACAATAAATTTTGTTCGAAAAGTCATCCAGTAAATAATACTGTTTCACTGTGTGATATACCTAATAAACAAACTAATATGGAATTACTTACTACCGCAATGCCCAAGTTTTACACATATATTAATATGAGAATTAAGTAGTACTTGTGCTCACTCTTAGTGTAAGTTTGTGAAGCTGAAAATAATTTCTGCTTAATTAAACTAACCTCATCGCAGTGCCTAGCGCCTGTTACAGCTTTTTTTAAAACGGTGTAATAATCAGTGGTTGCTGATTGACATTCAGGTGTAGAACTTGTCAGATTGTTTACATTAATTGCAATTTTTGAAGTGCACTTATCTGTGCAAAAATTTTAACTGACTGCAAAGAAGATTTCCTGTCTGTTACAGCCACAATCAAATACTTTTACGTATGTTTGAATGAGAAACTTTTACTTAATGTTTGGTTTCATACTGATATTCTTTTTCTTATAGAACTTTTTGTAGAAATGGAAACTACCAGGGTTAAGTAATCGATTCGTATAGTTAATATAGGAAGCAAAAGTTATATTAGGATTCGTAGAAGACTTGTAGAGGTTAATTAAATAAAATACATCACAACTAAAGTTTTCTGTAACATAAAAATGTATATAAAGGGTATGACAGTATCTTAAATATACCTAAAAGTGATAGGTGATAAAGCCTAAAATGCACACAGGTTTCAATCAGCAAGGTGGTACCAGTTCCCTGAAGATTGAAATCACATCGTGCTGCTGAGAGTCAGTGGGCTTTCAACGTATGGCCGAGGTTTCCTGCTGTTTGCATCCAGCGGTCTAACTTATACTTGTTTTAATATTCGATAAATTTTATAAGTTTTCGATTAATGATAATGAATGATTTTCCTGGATCAAACAAAACACTATCCTTTATTCATGTATCTTTCTAAAACTTTGAAAAAAGGTTATACTGAACAATATTGTCTATCTGGATGGCAGTGTTTAGGCCACCTATAAGAAACTGGCATATTTTAAAGTGTATTCAGCTTTTGAAGAAATAAACGAAATACCAAGTTTTTTTAAATATGAAAATTTAAAATAAGTTATGCTATGTCTTTATGGTGCGGCTGGTCAGACTATTCCATGCAACAAGTTTTTTCTGTCTCAGTGTTCACCCTGTCAGTTATAATCTGTAGCCCAGCACCTTTTCATGGTTTGTGTTCATTGAAGCAATCAGCTGCACAGGTATATCCGTTTCACCGCACCTTGTTTATGAATACAAATTCCCCTGTGATTTGTCTTCTATCACGCTGATTTAACAAACGTAACTGCCGGTCAAAATGTTATATGAGAATAAATGTTTTAATGTGGTTGTCTGGATGGGTGTACCTATAAGCATAACCCATCTACTAAAAGTTATTTACAAATATTTGTGAATTATATAAATTACAAGTTATGCAGTGGAACTGTAAATATGTAATACAGAAGCACGTAATGGCAGCATCTGGGATGAAAATATCCATATATATTTCGTCATATTTTATTTAATCAGTAAACAGAATTATCAGTAATTTTACACCTTAGATGGTTGAAGGCAATAGGCAGGAAGCTTTCCACCTAGGTTTCGTGGTTGCTGGTACTCATCAGCGTAGCATATCTTTAAATTTACATCTTGAAAATAGAAAAATAAAAGTATATCAAATGCTTACATTATATTCCATCTTCGGAATTATTGAGACTGGTGAGGTTTGTATGCGATTAGAGAAGATTCTTTTCTGATTAGAATCGATTTCATTCGGTGTACTTGTCAGGATATAATGAGTTTGTGCAGTCATCAGGTTGTTACTAGACACATTTTCGCGATGAAAATTCAATTCGTTAAATGATGGTTGTTGAGATGCTGTAATGGATGGTGGACTTATAAATGGTGATTGGGATGAACGATGTTGATGCTGATGATGATGACGAGGCGATTCGTACAGTGCAAGCTTAGTTACGAGAGGATGAGAATTATGGTCGACAGTTACTGTGCTACATTCTGAACTCATAACATCTGTTTGTAAATAGGGATTTAATGAACTGGCTGATGGACTGTAATTAGCTCTTTCACCATTTTGTAATAGTGAAGATATTGTCATGGAATTGAGAAAATATTGTAATTTGTAAGAATGGTTATCGTTATTATTGGGAAATTCTTTGACTTTTTGGTCATCACATTGTGTTAGTGATAGTGTGCAATTAGTATTTATATGTTTGTCATTACTGTTATTGATAGTATTTTTAGTATTTAGCTGACCTTTAATCTGATTACTATTAGTGAGAATACTGCTCACAGTATTGTTAAAAATTTGATGTGGTGAATTAGAAGCAATGAAAGTAGTTGGTTGGACTGCATGTATTGAATGACTGAATAATGGGGAACTAAGTAACTCATAGTTGGTGTTTTGTGACTCTTGAGGACTTCTTAGCTGACTTGTTTGTAATGTAGTTGGCAGTAATCCAGTATTTGGATTGATAACGACACCAGCTGATTGGTTGTAAAACATAGCAGTACCTGGGGCAAAACGACAGAAAGAAAAAAATAGCTCTTCTTAACAGGTTGATATACTGATATGAAATAATTGGTACAAATCAATAAGGTTAGATATCTTGGGGCTGAAATCCTTTAACCATAAGTGATATCTCTGAAGTGAATTAAAGCTGTTTTCAAATTTATCGACCGAACTTTAATACTCTAGTAATAAACAGAAGTTCTAATATGAGCAAATTTTTGCAGACAAGGAAATGAACGACACTTTGTAAAGCGTATGAGTTAATACACACCTTTAGACCCCTTGAGTTCATGAGGTGTGACAGCTTTCCAAGATGGAACAAAATCTTAAAATAAGGAAGCATGCTATCATTTTGACAGGATCATATATATATATATATCTTTCAGTCGGCGTAATTCCGACATCTCTGGAAAACGTGCATTGATTTATACTCATAGATGAATAAATAGTGGCCTATGCAATTTTATTTAGTCTCTAGTGATGATAGAATCTGATTATGTCAACTTTGTATTGCAGTCAGTAAGCCACTATCTTTGTACACACTAAAGATATAAGGTAAGTGAAGGTTAAGGGTTTCTTTTGATCATCATTCCGTGAGTGATTCTGCAAGCTAGTCACCCGTATTCATTTCAGTTTAGCCGCAAGATAAACAAATCCCCCAATCAAATATCTTAAAAGTGAAAACAGGTTATTTCGAAGTTACAGGAATTTGTTCAAGATACTTGTTAGGACTAATACAAAGTATACACATAACCTCATGAGTAGTGATTTTGTTTAGTGAATCATAATTATACTTTACATTTGAGGTGTATTCATAAATGTAAAGAAGTAAAAATTATTTTTTGACCTAAACAGACCACATTTAGACTATTAGCACGCTAAATGGCGCGATTAGTTTAGATTTGAATGACTCAAAATCACAGCTATATTGTTCAGTATTGTATGTGTTATCAAGGCTGAAAATATGTGAACTTGTAATTTACTTTAAAGCAGATTTGTTTTAAAAACAGCATTATTCAATTAAGCATAAAAAGTCACATTGTACTGAGAAACTATTTCACCATGATTTGTGACTTTCTAGCAATGGTAACTAAAAACTCAACGAGGGATACAGAAGTCATAATAGGTCAATAAACTGTGACGCAGTGACTGCAATATAACTAGCTGAACTTGTAATACCATGGTTCTACACTGCATTACTCATAATGTCAAACTAGTATACTGTTAATCTGAAGAGTTTCAATATAAAATTACTTCCAATTTACCATAGAATCAGAGTTCTATAAGTAGTTTCAATATTCGATGATATTAGATGGTTGTATACAATCGGCAGGAAGCCACACCTGATCTAGGTTTCGTGCTAGTTGGCACTCACCAGTCAGCAAAGCGTATCTGCAATCTTGAAGGAACTCTCCCTTCTGAGATTCGAACCCACGTCACCTAGTGCTTCAGTAAGAGACGTTGCCACTGTGCTATTTGGGCTTGCGATTGACCTCCTCTGTGACTGGATTGTACACTTACATTGGATACTAGTAACTAGGTCCAAGGCTTCCTTCCGATCGCCTCCAACCATCATCAAATCAATGTGCACTGTGATGGCGAGCCATCCAACATGGTGAGCACATTGGAAACCTGACTGATAGAATTCAGTCTACACCAAAGATAGGCCTAAACCCATCACAGTAGTTACTAGTGTCCAATAAAAGTTTTTAATATTCATTTAGAAATATGAGATTTATGCAAATCCTATAATGTTTCTCATTATTTTATAAACAAGAATGAGATATTCTATCAGTGAAATAGTGACGTGGACTGTCAGACAGTGTTCGTATTTATCATCTCTGATAAAAATACTTTCTGTGTGCTTAACATAGGTAATAAAAGTAATTATACGAATGCAAAACTTCACTTCACCAGTTGGAAATTATTGAATTTCCCTATGACACTTACAAATATATTGCAAACTTATAAGATATTAATAAGTAAGCTTTGAACTAAAGATAAATACTTTTGGTGGTTTAAAATTTCAATTATTTCAATTTTTCTGAAAAAAGAGAACCTGCTTTTAATTCATTCCAGCGTACCATGATATTAGAGGGAAAAGAAAGAGAAGTTCAGCAAAGATATCTTCTCGGCGATTTCATTCTCAAAAGCTGTACAATCGCATTTATAAACATTAGTTTACATGGATACAATTATTATTTATTTAATTCCACATAGTAATGAAGGAGATAATAATTTTCAACTTGATATGAAAGTTTGAAGGTACGAATACAGATTACGAGGGGCTTAGAGACAAGATTACATAGGATTGTAAAACAGTTACAACGTATGCAAAATTAATATTTGATAACTGGAGAAATAATTTTAAAGGCGAATAAAAGGTGATAATTATTTTCAATTTGATATGAAGTACAGAAGGCTTAGAAACAAAATTTGATTTCAGTTTGTTTCCATGCTCATTTTGTTCACACCTGTAATTTGTTCTATCCCTGCGTAACTTTTGTTTCTAAGCCTTCTGTACTTCATATCAAATTGAAAATAATTATCACCTTTTATTCGCCTTTAAAATTATTTCTCCAGTTATCAAATATTAATTTTGCATACGTTGTAACTGTTTTACAATCCTATGTAATCTTGTCTCTAAGCCCCTCGTAATCTGTATTCGTACCTTCAAACTTTCATATCAAGTTGAAAATTATTATCTCCTTCATTACTATGTGGAATTAAATAAATAATAATTGTATCCATGTAAACTAATGTTTATAAATGCGATTGTACAGCTTTTGAGAATGAAATCGCCGAGAAGATATCTTTGCTGAACTTCTCTTTCTTTTCCCTCTAATATCATGATTTGCCAGTTTTCAATATTTCATTACAACTTCTCATCCAGTTGTATTTTATTACAAAATTAGATAAGAGTGAGAAAATGATCGTGGGTCAAAAGGTGCTGAATAGTTGCTTCTTTCCACTAAAAAGCATACAATCACTTAAAGAAGTGAAGTGATAAACATTTTGTTAGGAGGCCAGTATGTTCTCATGAAACTACCAGCTTGAAATTTACCAGATATACCTTTTTGCTAATTATATACTTGTTAACTCGTCCTAAAAGTAAATATGTTCCTTTAAAGTTGTGTTTAATCTCTGTAACTGAATGTACCGTCAAGGAATAATCCAAATGAACTGATAAAAGTCACGCAACCTAACTTATGTTGGTCTGTAAAAATTCTTACTGATGGAGTAAGAAGATAAATATATTCAGGAGAAGTCCTATTAGGATGATGGTAAACGAAATTCATATACAAGCCATATTCTTTGCGTTCTTATCAGGAATAACTGTTCGACACATGTTCGTTCACTTTTTACATCAAGAAATAACCGGATGAATGCCAAATATAAAGAAATGTTCAACATGACCAAACCGCATAAAATTACTGACAAACCATTATGCTTGTACAAGTCTAGAAATTGAAATATCCGAGTTATTATAAAACACATTTGATCAGTTACATTCTTATAATAATTGAGACCAGTGTACTTTGTTGCAGCGTGTGTGTGTGTGTGAAGATATCACTAAGTGGTAATTTTATTGAAGAGAGTATTGAATTTATTTTAATTATTATTCAAATGCTGGTTTAAACATTACACAATAATCGGAACTCTCTTATGACTAGTAGTTTGTCTGTACGCATTCATCATTTGTACTAGTCGACTGGTATTCATTATTAACCCCAAGCAGGCATCAGAAGGAAAAAATAAAACAAGTAGTTCAGCAAAGATGCTCTTTTAAGTGAATTCGTTTTCTTTAGCTGTACAATCGCATTCAAATATACTTTTTTCACGAAGGCGGACAGTAACGAAAGTGATAAGTTGTCATAAACATTGCTACTTATATTGATCGATGTGTAAGAGTAGCTGAATAAAGGAAGTATAGTCACGTAATAGGATAAATAATTAAATGAATGAATTGTAATCAAGATTCACACTGGAAGGAAGGAAAGTGTGATATTACGTAAGACATCATTGTTATAATGAGTTAGAAAACATTAAGTTAATAGAAAACAAAAGCAACGTCTTTACCATGATAATGGCAGTGGCTTATTAGTTTTCCTATGTATGAAAAGCTCCAGTTTCCTTATCTAAATGACTGCACCTTCGGTAATGTAGTGGAGAGGAGAGCGAGTTATCTTTGGTTGTCCTTCACTTTTTAGATTACTTTGAAGGAGGTGTTTGTTGAAGTAGAGTAACTATTGTTGACAAGGTGTTCAATAATTGGGCTTCTCATAAAGCCACTGTTGACTTTCTTCAAACATTCGGACAGTGTTCTTGAAACCCTTACAGACAAGATACTCGTTGAACGAACAAGAACAGGTCGGCAAATATATACACTTAGAAGTGGTCAAATGCAAGATCATATCCTTCAGGCTTCTGCAGGCTAGTGAACGACTGGAGATCACTACTCTTAGCATTGCTGCGAAGAAGTCTGTCGTCAAAAATGATGAAATTGTTCTCTTAAGGATATCGAAGGTTTAGTTCCCCTTGAATCAATGTTCACGCAGACTTATTTTTGGTACATATTATGTTTCTTCCCCCGAACTTTTGGTTTGCTATCCTCGTCTATGGAAGTCGGTAGATTTCTTCCAGAAGGTCTAGTTCTTCTTCCACAGCGTCAGGATTATAAAGGCGACTATACAGCTAAAGAAAACGAATTCGCCAAAAATAGCCTGTTCACTGAACTACTTGTTTTGTTTCAATCTATTATTAGTTAGTTTTATCTACAATTTAGTCGTTGAATCAATCCACTGAATAGTCAGTAAGTGAGTAAATTACGTATATGATCATATTTAACCAGTGAAAACTTAATTTATAATTCATTGAAAAGGTACATATGTATATATGTCAAGTAATTTTTAAAAATCCTTTTGTATTTCGGAAGAATTCAGATGCTTTTAAACAATGTAGAAGAAAAATTAAAAATTTGTAGGTGAAGTGGTGAGAAATA